TCCAGGACCCTCCCGCTATCCACACAGTGTTACCTCCTCCTCCCGAAGTCCCGGCTCCCTCTACCTCATTGCCTCCTCCTCCCTCGGCCGATTTGCCGTCCCTGATCTCTGCCCTCACCGCCCTGACCCAACCCCCCGTTACCACCCCTCCAACCCCTTCTCCAGTGTTACCTCCTCCTCCCGAAGTCCCGGCCCCCCCTACCTCGTTGCCTCCTCCTCCCTCGGCCGATTTGCCGTCCCTAATCTCTGCCCTCACCGCCCTGACCCAACCCCCCGTTACCACCCCTCCAACCCCTTCTCCAGTGTTACCTCCTCCTCCCGAAGTCCCGGCCCCCTCAACCTCGTTGCCTCCTCCTCCCTCGGCCGTTTTGCCATCCCTAATCTCTGCCCTCACCGCCCTGACCCAACCCCCCGTTACCACCCCTCCAACCCCTTCTCCAGTGTTACCTCCTCCTCCCGAAGTCCCGGCCCCCTCTACCTTGTTGTCTCCTCCTCCCCCGACTGGTTTGCCATCCCAACCCTCCACCCACGTTATTACGACACAGCCCCCTGGTCCCATCCCTCCGACCCCTCCCCCGGTGACCCCTGACCCATCCACGGCCAATGACCTGTCTAGCTCGATATCTGCCCTCTTCTCTGCTGTTACCTCCCTGGTTAATTCCGCGATCCCCGTGCCGCCTCCCACTGATTTACCACCTCCTCCTCCTCCTCCCCCCGAACCTCCGACCCCTTCCTTGTCTCCCGCTAGCATCCCCGAGCCTTCCGATCCAATCTCTGCTCTTGCTCACGTCCTCAATACCCACCTCTCACGCCCATCTCAACCGGCCCCCATGACAGCCCCTTCCACGGCATTGATTCCTCATGCCCCTTCCGCCAGTCCTAGTTATCCAATCATGGTGGTTGGGTCCGAGGTGTCTGTGACATCGGACCAACCCTATGCGATGGGTGCTTCCCCCCAGGCCTCAGGTTTCCACCCAACTACCTCTCCTATCACTGGCCTCCCTGCCGCCCCCGCCACAGCTACCCCTGAGACTACTCTCCACCGCGGCCCGGTGATGCCCGAGGAGGTCGTTGTGGTGGACCAGGGCTCACCTCGCCTAGGGGGGAACAGGCACCCCCAACGGCACTCTATCCCCCAGGGTTATACCCAGATTAACCATGGAGCGGATGGTGCACCACCCATGTATGTTGCCTTCAACCCTTCCCAAGCTGCTACCCTTGTGACCTCACTCCCTGATCCTGAGAAACACCCCATGCCCTTTTTCCGCAGGATGGCCCAAATCCGTAAAACATACTCCGCTGCTTGCGGGATCTTATTAGTTTGTGTGAAATAAAGGCTGGAGATGCATACTGGCCAATTATGGAACGGAGCTTTAACGACGCTCCACTTACTTCTGATACTGATTTTCGTTCTGGTGAAATTTTCTGTGAACAGCTTCGAGCCTGGGCACAGGATAAACTGGCTGATCAGGCTACTTGCATAAATGACATAATTCAGGATAAACTTGAGACAGTTGAAAAGTATCACTCTAGGTTGACTCAGACTTTTTCAGACTTAGGATTCAGCACCTATAACAAGGCACACACCCAGATGCTATCTGCAGCTTTTGTGGCAAGTCTTAGGGAACACATTCGTAAGGGGTTAATTTTAGCTCGCCCTGAGTATAGAATTATTCCACTGGACACTCTTTTGTTGGTAGCCAAAGGCTTAGAATCTGTTTTGCAACCCACACAGCGAAGAACCAGTCCTCTGATGTACACTACCTCCACACCAATTGCAGGTTCTAACCAAGTTCCTCAGTTACTCCCCCAACAGTACACTCGGTCACCCCAGACACTGCCTGCACCAATTCCCTTCTCCCGGGACCGGACTATCACGACAATCCGGACCGGTTTTAATTGTAATCAGCCAGGTCACTTTAGAAGAGATTGCCCACACCCTAGAGTGTTCCGCCAACAGGCTCCTAGGTACCCAAGTCCCCATGTCACCGGCTATAACTTCCCCTCCACTGGTTACCTCCCTGCCCTGCCCCATCCACAGTTGCCACAGCTTCCTCCACCACCTCCTCCTCCTCCTCCTCCTGAATACACCCAAGCCCGGCTCCCTGCATCAGAAGCTCGTGCATACACTTCGCCCTCCGCTGAAGGGTATGACAACGATGATTTCCAAGACAGCCAGCCACAGCCCCGCCACGCCATCCGTCCATCCCGTCCTCCCATGCATTCTACTAACCCTCCCTCCACTTCCCGCCGGTACCAGGGACCAGACCAGGCCCATCTAGATTTATTACAATAGGTAACTGGCAAGCCTGTGTCAGCAACCCCTGCCATGGCAGTGTCTGCGGGGGATGGGGGAGGGCCTTTGGCTACTGTAGTTCTCCCCGTGGAGGGTCACCCAACCACCTTTCTAGTTGACACAGGTGCAGCCCGTAGTGTCCTTAGGGAACAAGACCTGCCAGACCCTTCCTTCTTATCTGACACCGATGTTTCCTGTGTTGGGGTGGATGGTACACCACGCAGTAACCCCCTTACTAAGCTCCTACACGTAGGATCACACATCCTCTCCCGGTTTGTTGTTTCCTCTACTTGCCCCATTAACCTCCTAGGTGCCGATGTTCTCTCTCGGCTCCAGGCCTCTATTACCTTTACTGCAGATGGTCAAGTTGAGCTGACAACCCCCTTATCACAAAAGGATACCTCTGTCCTCTGCTCACTCCCCATCTTGTTGAACCTGACTGACAATACAGGGAATGCACGGGTCACACACACCCCCAGTGCTCTGGATCGTATTCCCCAAGAACTTTGGTCCACCGGCCCGGATGATATTGGGCGCTTACATGTACCCCCAGTCTTGGTCCAGCTCCTGCCTGGAGCACTACCTCCTCGTAGACCACAGTATCCTCTGAAGCCAGCACAAGCTGAAGCTATTACCAAACAAGTTGAAAGCCTCCTTGCCAAAGGTGCCCTCATCAAGTGCACATCTCCATGTAACACACCACTTTTCCCTGTTAAAAAGCGAACTGTCAAGGGTCAACCCGACCAGTACCGCATGGTGCAGGACCTCCGTGCTGTTAATGAAGTAACCATAAAAGACACTGCTATTGTTCCAAACCCTCACACCCTCTTGTCCCAAGTCCCACCAACTTCCACAATATTCACTGTAGTGGATCTAGCTAATGCCTTTTTCAGTGTCCCCCTTGACCCTTCCTGCCGCTTTCTCTTCGCCTTCACTCATGAAGGACAACAATATACCTGGACTGTTATGCCTCAGGGGGCTCAGAATTCCCCCACACAGTTTGCTCATGCCATGTCCCTGGTTCTGGATCCCTGGCAGAAATTTCATTTGGATGTTGTCCTGCTTCAATATGTTGATGATCTCCTTCTCTGTGCTCCTGATTTGCCCACTGCAGAGCGTGACTCAGAAGATCTCCTATGCTTCCTCGCTGCAGCCGGTTACAAAGCTTCAAAATCGAAGTTACAATGGTGCCGGCCCTCTGTGGTCTTCTTGGGACATTGCCTTTCCCATGGCACCAAACATCTAACTTCTCAACGTGTGCAAGCTATTCTGCAAATCCCTTTACCTGCGACACATCAGACTCTTCATGCCTTTTTGGGTCTTATCACATATTGCAGGTCCTGGATACCCGAAGCATCTACGATGCCCTCAGGAGTGAGCCCTTTCACCTCACTGAAGAAACAATCACCTGTTTCCACAATCTGAAAAGAGCTATTGCTTCTGCACCTGCTTTGGGCCTACCCAACTACCAACTTCCTTTTAATTTGTTTGTCTCTGAAAAGTCAGGACATGCCTCCGGAGTCCTTACCCAGAAACATGGGTCACGGCAATGCCCTATTGGCTATTTTTCCTGCATGCTTGACCCTGTTGCGAGGGGTAGCCCCTCTTGCCTCAGAGCGGTGTTTGCCGCCAGCGCCCTCCTAGACAAGACAAATGATTTTGTTCTTGGCCATCACCTCACAGTGTTGGCCCCTCATGACATTACTGCAATCCTGCAACAAGTTCAACCTAAACACCTTTCCTCCCAACGTCACCTCCGTCTGCAAACCTCCTTACTTCTACCTGACAATGTGAAACTCCAGAGATGTCTTTCCCTGAACCCAGCCACTCTTCTGCCACTTCCCAAGGGGGGAGTTGTGCATTACTGGTATAGCCTGGATATCAACCCAGAGGTCCGAACAGATTTGCAGCTGCCTGCACTTGCCCTCCACATGATGAACAATCAGAGGCCCTACTTCACTGTACCTTGTGGTTTAAGGACGTACCAGGCCCTGATATGAACTATGAGGAAGAACTATTCCAGCTTAAAGAAATTCAAATTACCCTGACTGACTTATTCTGGGACCCCACAGGTACCATGCTCATCTTAGTCCATCTTCCAGAGAATGTAACACATCTCTATCATCTTTGGGAAACAGCTATCCCACACATATCTCTCACCAGATCCCCCGACACCTCATGGAAAGACCTAGGCCCGATGGCCAAAACCTGGAGCCAAATGACCCAAGAACAACTGACTTCTACGGGGATCAACAAAAAGACTATTAACTACTGTACAGCAGGGTACCCAAGGTACCACACAGAAGCCTGTGAAGATTCACTCACCACAGACTGTGACCTAGATATTCCTCATGATTGTTTTGAACAAATGAAAATGGAAACTACACACCTACCAACTGTCTATGAAGCTGCATTACTCAACCCAGATCAAACACTATTTGTGGATGGGTCAAGATTTGCTGATGAACAGGGACAATATCACACTGGGTATGCAATCACCACAGGATGTCAAGTATTACAAGCAGCTGCCCTACAACCAGCTAAGTCTGCTCAAGAAGCCGAGCTAACAGCCCTGACTGTGGCCTGCAAATTGTCTGAAGGTCTACGTGTCAATATTTACACGGATTCAAGATATGCCCTGGGAGTAGCACAGATTTTGGCTTAATTTGGAAGACCAGAGGATTTCTTACGGCTACCGGTACCCCAGTAAAGCATGGGGCAGCTATTGCAGAACTGATGGATGCATTGGAACTCCCAGCAGAGGTGGCAGTACTGAAAGTAAAAGCCCACGGAAGACTAGACACAGAAGAAGCACGTGGCAACCTCTTAGCTGATCAGGCAGCTAAGGAAGCAGCACGACAAGGATGGGAAGTGGACAGAAGAGTGGCCACAGATACACTACCCATCTACACTATGCAAACATTGCCTACAGATCTTAGGCTTCTGAAGGAACAACAAGCTGCTGCTACTCCCCAGGAGAAACAAAGTTGGAAGAATAAAGGAGCTGTACTCCGTGATGATGTTTACACCATCAATCTCAAGTTCTGCTTACCCAGAAGTATGTACTCAGCGGTGGTCCAATGGGCCCATGGGCCAGCCCACCTGTCGAAACTCCTGATGAACTCACTGATTGACAAGTATTTTGAAGCATCAGGCATCACTACCTTAACACAGAATTACTGTAAATCTTGTACTATATGTGCTATATGCAATCCTGGAAAGACCATAAAGACCGCACCTAATCACCTAGCTAAACCACAATACCCCTTCCAGAGGATCCAGATTGATCACATTCAGATGCCAAAGAGTGGACGTTATGAATATGCATTGATCATAGTGGACATGTTTTCAGGATGGCCAGAGGCCTTCCCAGTGACTAATCTCACCGCGAGGACTACAGCCAAGTATCTTTTGACAGAAATTGTTTGCCGCTATGGAGTTCCAGAAGTAATTGAAAGTGACCAAGGGACCTCCTTCACTGCCTCGCTAACACGGGAAGTCTGGTCAGCACTGGGGGTGACCCTTGCATTCCACACACCATACCACCCACAGAGTAGCGGTAAGGTAGAACGCATGAATGGCACTTTGAAAGCCAGAATGCTTAAGATGTCACAAGAAACTAACATGCCCTGGCCCGAGAGTCTCCCACTAGCGTTGTTTAGTGTAAGGTACACTCCCAGAGGAAAATATAGCTTGTCACCTTATGAGATTTTGTTTGGTACAGCACCCAGGTTAGGTTGCTACTTTCCCCAACAGCTTCAGATTCAGTCAGATGCTATGGTAGACTATGTGACTGCCCTCTCACATGCCTTGACCAAGATACATGCCCAAGTGTTTTCTTCTATTCCAGATCCTGAGTCGAATACAGGTACACACAAGCTGCTTCCGGGTGACTGGGTTATGGTCAAGAAGTTTCTCAGAAAACACACCCTAGAACCAAGATTTGATGGTCCTTACCAAGTGCTCCTGATTACAGCAACGTCAGTTAAACTAGCTGGAAAGAGTTCTTGGATACACGCTTCACATTGCAAAAAAGTGCCTGCTCCAGAAGAAGCTGATCCTGTTGAAATATGAATTTATTATGTGTCTTGTGTTTTCTTATGCTGCTACACTTTGCCTGGGCCCAACAAGTGGCCATAACCAAAGATAATCACGTTTACACTTTCTGGTACAATTTTTCTAATACTGATGTAGCCACATACACCTTTGATTACTGTGACATAGTTACTTGTACATTTCCACAAACACAATATGCAGCCATATACAAAGACATACCTAACAAAAAGGATCCATACATTTGTGTGACTGGAGGAGTTTGGGGACACCATTGTAGTTCATGGAAAGCTGCCGGGTGGAATACAGGTAGACCATGGGGCTACAGACCTCAAGTTGCACTGGATAGACTTGACAAAGATGGGAAACCCCTACTTTCTAGAATGACTCTGAGTAAACCCATAGGGTCAACTCCCATTAAACTTACCCTGAATATAGAACACCCCAACCCAAGGGATGCAGGGGAATATGTGATGGGAATGTATTGGAAGGGAGGTGGCTCACATAATGCATTGGGGACATTTTACCTACAAGACATGCTCACCTCCCCAGACTGGGTAGGGACTACTCACATGATCATTAACCCATTAAAGCCACATATTAAGACCCTACATGACATGGTAGCTATAGCCAACCCCACCTTTGAAGATACCATGGCAGTAGAGACTGGGTTTTCAGACACTAATTTGTGGCTAGAATGGATGAGGTATAATGCTAACTCACATAATAAGACTAACTGTTATGTATGTGGAGGAGCCAGGCCCCATCTGGGTACAGTACCTCTGAGCTTACCCCCCGAAGTAGAATTATGTGTTTTGAGTCTTTATGCACAATCCACCACCAACTCCTCAACATGTGAATCATGGAAGAGAATTTACCCAATCACTCAGGGACATGTAAAACCACCTGATGGAGTCACCGTCTACTCAGGTAATTACACATGTTATGCAATACCTAAGAACGCTGGTTTGTATCTGGGCAAATTCCCATCAGGATACTGCTCAACTTACCATAATCCACCTGTATCACTGCTAATGAACCACACAAAGACAATCGGTGATATCTATTGGTTATGTGGTGACAAACAATTGAGGTCCCAATTAGCTGGGCAATGGTGGGGGGAGTGTGCCCTAACCAAAGTCATAATGCCTATCCACATTATTCCAGATGGTAGTCATAACACGTTAAACCTTACACATGTACACTCTAGAACCAAACGAAAGGGTCCTATCCGAGGGAGCTTCGACCCCCATGTGTATATTGATGCCATAGGTGTGCCAAGGGGGGTGCCTAACGAATTCAAAGCAAGAGATTTAGTGGCTGCAGGATTTGAATCCCTAATTCCAATGATAACTGCTAACAAAAATGTCAATTGGATCAACTACATCTATTATAATCAGCAGCGCTTCGTTAACTACACAAGGGATGCCCTGCAGGGCCTAGCAGAACAGTTACAAGCCACTACTCAAATGACATTTCAGAACAGAATGGCCCTAGATATGATTTTAGCTGAGAAAGGGGGAGTATGTAAGATCCTCCCTGAGACTATGACATGTTGCACATACATTCCAGACAACACTGGGCCAAATGGTAAGGTGACTACGGCCATAGAAAAGCTAAATAGCCTTTCTGATGAACTAAAGAAAAATTCAGGAGTCACTGACACTTGGGACAGATGGTTTGGGTGGATGAATGGTTGGCAAAGGACTCTCTTCCAGGTAGGGACAGCTGTTCTTATAATGATTATCATCTTCTTATTTTTAACCTGTTGCGTGCTCCCTTGCATACAGAAGTACTTACAGAAAGCGGTAGATAAGACTATAATGACGTGACCCCTACTTTCCTACATCAAGACATCACAGACCTCAAAGATGACACTCCACATACACCCCTCCAATCACATCAGTTCAAACAGACAACTGCTCTCCTGTAGGGACAGTGTAGGGAAAGCGTCTGTCTTGGCAGGCGAGTCTCACATGTGGAGATGTGGTGGACTAGCCGCTGCGGGTTACCCCACGGAGTGAAGTGTTCGATGCTTGTTAAGACAGATGAGCTGCAGGCAGCTAGGGACATATTAGGGACAAAATATACATACAATAGGTGGAACACACTTCTGTAGGTTCTAAAAAAAAAAGGGGCACAATATTATTTGGAAAGGTTTTTTTTCCTTTCATAATAAAGTCACCAACTTTTGGATTAACCTATTGGAATAGTGCAATTCTTCCATCATCACCTTCCTAACCCTGAAGGATAAACACCAAGAAGGATGGGGACATCCTATTAAGAGTCCCACTGCGCTGCACATAAGAGCCATATGTCAGACTGGCTCTAGGCTTGTGAGTAACATTGCTCTGCTGCTGTATACTTTATTTTATTTCATACAGTCTATACTATGATGTTTTGTTCTTTTTTTTAGAACCTACAGAAGTGTGTTCCACCTATTGTATGTATATTTTGTATTTCTTGTAAGTGGTAGAAGGGGTTTCCACTTAGGTGGTTTGTAACGGTTTAGCTACCACATTCTTTTCTCTTACTGTATATCTATTTCTTTGCACCACATATTAGGGACAGTAGCAGTTGTTATGGTAAATAGCCATTTTAGGGGGGACTGTTGTGGAAATAAGGTCTGCACATATTTCCTAGTTAGTAAAAATGTCTATTTACTCATTCCACAATATATCATATATAAAGCTGAGCACACATGTTTTAATCAAAATGGCTGCTAGAAGCTTCTAACCCCTCCTCCCCCCCCCCTTCCCTTCTTAACACCAACTAACTACCTCGTGCAGCAAGATGGCGCCGGGAAACCGTGGGAGACCCTCATGGCCCCGGTGACATCACTTCAGTAGGCAGAGCATTAGAGCAACCACTTAACACCTAACCAATAATTGATGTATTATTCCATGTTATCTCTGACAATGCTTATGATGTAATTTTGCTTTAAAAGGGACCTGCCGTCCCCTCTGAATAAACATTCCTCAAGTTATTCAACAACCTGGAACCTGTGTCTGGTGTGAATTACTTCAGGGAGCGTGCACGCATCGTTCCATTGATTTGGCCAGGGGCAGATACACAAAGAAATAATCAATACTTTGATTGATTTTTCCATTTCAAGTATATACTGTATTATTGCAGTGCTTAGCTACAAAATGTGAATAATGTCCCATTTTTGTGTATACCCCCTTTTCCACAGATTTCCTGTCTTTCTTAGAGTTTGGGTCCTACCCTGGGATGTCTTGGGACCGATGTATAGGAAAGTCACAACCAGACAAGGGGATAAATGCACAGTTTACATATCCGCACTTGTATTGTGTTTTTGTTCTTTGTTTACAATTTTATGTGTGTTCATTTGCATTATTATTTAAAAAGGAAACCCGAATACATTTATGAAAAATGAAAACAAAACTTTATTCGAAGGAGAAAATATTCATAACAAGTAACCACAGACATCAAGCAATATGTTCAAGTAAGAGTTAAAATTTTCTCATCTTCTTATCTTGCCGTTTTAAACTTCCAGGGAAAACAACATTTACAACATAACCCAAGCAAACAGGTGTGTATTATGTACAAAATAATTTTGTGTTTCAGTTCTTACAATCTGTGTTGTCCAGTGGCACGGTGGCCAACAGGATAATGGACATCGGACCTCTAAGTTATCTCAAAACAAAAGGATGAAATTTATAGACTGACAATACTTCCATCTACCGAGCAAAACAGAACATATCAAGCTTTAACCAAGTGCCTTTCACAATGGCACAACACTCATGAATAACCCTATACAATTTGGCTTTAAAATATCAGCTTAAAATGATCTCCATTAAACAGGCACAACTAGCTATCTATGGTAACTGTTCAATGTTAACCCTTTATTGCAAGAGAGGCATTTAACTGGTTTATGATGCAGGCCTCTGCTTGAGCGGAAACATAGTTACAAAGTACATTTCACAGCACATAAAAACAAAATAAAATCATGAGG